CGGGCGGCCTGCAGCCCATGGCATGGAGGTCCAGCTAGATGCGGAGGGCCCCAGGGTTCCTCATAATCCCCTCCCTGTAATCATAGGCCACCTGAAATAGCAAAAAACACACACACACACATGTGTACCTATATGTAACATACATATGGAGGGTTCTTTTATGATAAGGAAGCCTTGTGATTTGCTATTAGATTCATATCACGGTAACGCAAGTTCAACTCCACCACGGGCAATGAGGGTCTAGAGCTTAAAGGCGTGGAACTTAAGGTGTAGGGTGGTGCGGGGCTGTTTGCAGATTGGCTTGTCCATTAACCGTGCGTAATTTACGTAAAATGTTTAGTCCCTTTAAGTAGATAGAATATGGCTTTGGGTATATTATAATAAGATTCCCATATACGCTATATTGTATATCTACTGAAGGGGGACTACAGGTACATCGTCCTACGAGCTCAGCGTTGCTTCCAGGGCATCTTTTTTGCATTGTCGTGCGCCGATTCGCAAGTGAATATGGGAAATTTTCGAACCTGTACAGCTCCCAATACTTGAGGCAATTGCAGATTGTAAGCAGTATCCAGAAACCGCTCATAATTTGGAGAGAGCCGCCCAAGCCCCAAACCAAAGCCTGTATGGTCCGCCAAGCACTTCCATGTTAATCCCCGCGCCCAAAGGTCAAAAGCCCCACCGCGCAAAAAATCACAATAGGGGAAGGTGTGGAGACTCTGTCAGCTTCTTTCTGCTGCCCCTAGCGCTGTAGGTGCACCAAAGCTGCTGCAGAGACAGCACCTTCAGCATCTCCAAAGACCTGGGTTCGGAGGCCACAGCTTGTAGGGTTTGAGGTCATTTAAGGTTTGGGGCTCAGGGTTCGGGGCCCTAAACCCTAAATAGTGGTTTCCATTCTGTTTGCCATTATCCCAATATACACCAGTATGCCCTTAGCCGTAAATCTAGGGGGTGTAATGTCCAAAGAGATTGGCTCGGCGGCCAAGGGTTGAGGAGTGAGCGACGTCTTGGGACAAAGGGGGGGATGCAGAGTAATTATGGGTAATTATTGTCCCCCTTAAGTAGAGAGAATATGGCTTTGGGTTTTTCATAATAAGACCCCCATATACCCCATATTCTATCTTAAGGGGACTACAGATCTTCAGGGATGAATAATACGTACCGCGATGTTACACACCATGATTGAGGTGCGATCCATGCGTGTTCTTGATGAGAGGGCCAGAATGACCACCCCGTCTGAGGCCAATGCTTTTCGCCACACGTGCAAGCCACGGTTGCTTCGGCTGCTGCCAGAGTGACTTTCTAAGAGTGTTCGTCGACTCGCGTACATCTGATATCCACGTGTTTTTGAAGGTTTGCCAGGCATGTATTTACGCTGAAAGGATGGTTCTAAAGTGTTTTTTTCTTTCGAAAAGCGCTTCTGCAAAGTTTTACGATCCAGTCAAGGTTCTGCGACATCGATGGGCATGGCCATGTCAACAATGCCAACCTCATCGGCTACCTGCAGGACGCTCGCCACGCCGCCAAAGCCCCACAGCGGCTGGAAGATGTATTCTCGTTCCTCATTGTTCCAGAAAGATGTTGCTTTCATGTTTCGGGTGCTTTCAGTATCAAGCCATTTTCCGCTGAAATACTGTGCCAATCCAACCTGGATTTGGGCATGTGAGGTTCTACATTGAATTCATGAATATGGCGAACTTAGACTCTACCCTGGAGACCTCCGTCTGGTTTACAGCCTCACCAGCTGCTGTGTTCTTCCATATGCGTGACCAGACCCTGGGCAGCGTTGGGGAGAAGACGAGGGACATTTCGTTGACACGAAAACGTCCTGCATGGCCTTACTATGCTTTCGTGCCATAGTTCCTAGGGCATAAGGTGGCTTGGGTCGTGCAGGAATTTCATTATCAACCGTATCCTAGAGAAGGTAGCCAGCCTGTAGGCAGGTAGAAATGTGCAATATCCAAACTTAGCTGACTGTTGAAGCGTATTCACATGATCGGGTAGCTAGTAGCTATAGCCCAATGATGCTGACATCTATATAGATGGATATAGACCGTAAAGCTTCACCCCCTAAAGTGATAGTAAAGCCCGTGAGGTCTGAAGCCAAGACCCAATTTCAACACCCGTCCGCGCAGGTATATAGTTTCTTTGGCTGATGTAGCTGCTCACGAGCCCACGCAAGTATGTACTCAAAGCCTCCATTGACCCCTTGGGTTTACTAGGTGGTCATGATGTCAATGCAACAGGGTTTTAATTTGAGGTTTGGAGTTACGACCTTCATCATCACAAGCCCGTTCTAGGAATGGTCGGAGCATCATCCGCGCGCGGATGGACACGGCGCTACCGGAGGTATCTGTGGAAAAGCCATTGTCAGGGAAGACTCGCCTGAAGCCTGCCTCAGCAACTCTTGGGCCATTGCCGGACATGATTTTCTAATTTGACTACACGCAAGCCTACTACGAAATATTAAGTTGGATGGTTTTCATATATGCTCTCCCCAAAAAATATGTGAAAAAGGCCGGAAGTGGCGCCTAGTTTCAAGCAGCCTTTGGTGGGATTAGTGTGGTTCAAGGTGTCGAAGAAGGCCAACGCACGGGTACAGGTTGCCTTCAGATCTTACCCATGGTTGCCTGAGCATCCTATGAGCTCTAGTCTAAACTCCTTGAAGGAGGTAATAAAGGGGTTCTATAGGGAGTATTTCAGGGGTTATTTAGGGGATACTTGGAGTTCATACTGTGGCTCATATTACCAGTTCATAAGCTGTCTGAAGCTGACCCATACACCATACATTTGGGATCTTCAAGGTCCCATTCCAGCTCCGGGGGAGGAACATACACGTAGCACATGCCTTCTCATGTTCGATCTTAAAAGAATAGCCCATAAGCTCCTTTCGCGCCCCGTCTTGCAAAACTCATACCGTATACCCAGATCTCGAACTTGATGAACCCTAAATAGCATAAGCTCACGCCTTGAACTTTCCAGGTCCAAGCTTTTTACGGCACCCTAATTCTAATTCACACCTCGCGCCTTACCTTGTGTACACCACATCGTGTGAAAGATGAGAGAGATAGGGAGCCCGGAAGCATTGCCCATATCCCCTCCCTTCTATCTAGTTACTTAAGGAGGGTATCGAGGTCTGACATACACCCCCTTGTCACTCCTATGTTCCACGAGTCAAAGAGGTAAAGTCGTACACTCCGATCCCAGAACATAGACTTAAACGCCCAACCGTGAAGTCTATACCCTAAACCCTAAATCCCAAATCCTAACCCCACTTCCAACTTCCAACTCATAAGCTGCAACCCATTAATCCCAAACCTCTGGCTCGCAGACCCCGAAGCCAACCGTTATCGAGGTAAGCGCTTCAAGCCTTCAAGCTGGAAATTTGGAGGAGTCCCTCAAAGCGGTCGCGCCTTAATGACGAAGAGGGTGAAAGAGTTTGGGTCCAGGGTTCAGGGGTAGGGGCGTAGGATTTCCTGATTTGACCACACTTTTTGGGGGGCGAAACTCATGCACACTCAGCAGCATGACAAGCTTCATCTTCTTCATCTAGGCCGCATGCTGCGTGTTCTTTGAGATGCTATGCTGCTTAGGGGTCCAAAGGACATACAATCACGTATCTGGCGTTTGCTATGTACATTGAGGCCAGGTAGTAATCAGGCATTTGGACCTAGATCGTATACCGACATGCATTGCCGAAGTAAGTGAGTGGGCTTGTCAGAAAACAGGAGACATTCCAGACACCCTACACTGGGCCCTTTGTATGCCTGCTTTCCATTTCATTTTCCAGTTTTCATTACCCCATATCATCCCTTTATAACCCTGTTGTCCATTTGATTCTCCATTATGAAGGGTTAGCCCCGGGCCCTAAATCATAAGCCTATTTTTGATACTTCGACCGTTTGGGTCAGGTGCAGAAGAGACGAGACAAAGGCCTACTACGCCGCCCGCTCGTTGTTGGCAAACATGTTGCATTCTTACACAAATCGGGGCCGTTTGGGGTCTAGGCTTTAGGCCAATTTGGGGAATTTGGGTGGTTTAGAGTTTATGGAGATTAATTTTGTTTGGAAAAGAACCTGAACATTCTCAGCTTCTTAAGCCCTTACAGCCCACTTCACTTTCAAATTAGAATTAAGCCCCGTTTCTGGATTGGTATCACTGTTCATACTGGCCCTGTGCTGAAGCATAAACCACCCTCGAGCTGCATAGGTCTAAGACGGGTTTCAATCGGTCAGGATGTTTGGAGTACGGCAAATGGGGTCATAACGCTTGCTGACCCACTTAGTTCTTCCACTTGCAACCATAAACCTCCCAGTCCCCCGCCAAAATAACCGCACAAAACTGGAATGTTGTCACTTAGTTCGGAACAATTGGAGGAATGCATCCCTACAGCAATCCCCAACAGCATGTCTTTCCTTTCCATTCCCTTTTACTCGCTACTCCCAAACCCTAAACGCTCAACCCTGAATCGTACTTGGCACTTTTTTTTACATTCCGCCATTCCCTAGTAGACCCGTGATTAATTACCCCCCCCTCCTTAACAAGGACTATCACAGGGATCCTAATATTAAGGACCTTAAAAGGATGGGGTTTATTCATCATGGGCCTACATTAAGAAAGAGAAGGCCAGCTGTCGAAGCGCTCCGCCAACCAGGTAGACTTTTGTTCGAAACTTGGATCAACTAGCAGTAGGTTCAAAGTGCTCTTGATTCGCATTGAGGGTTTGGAGGCTTAGTAGGGGTCGGGGCTTCGGGTTACTTCGGGGTTTAGGGATTCCCGATTTAGGCATAGATTTCAGGGTAGCATGCCGCGCAATCTGGGTCTTTCCCGATGGGCACACGGGGCATTCATTTTGGATGTAGCTTTCTGACTACAAGCTATGTTCCCTTCCCACTTTATGCAGGCATCAAGACCAACAAAAAAGCTGGAACATTCCATGGAAGCAAACCTTATGGCCGTGCCCCTTGAAGAAACGCAGGAATGACTACTTGGGCTTGGCCATGTCCCCAGAGCTGGCAAGAGACATTGAGCAAGAGCCTTGGATTGCGAGTGCCCTCGCTTAAGATAAGGTCATAGACTTCCTTTTAAAGTTGTTACTGTAGGGCTAGGGCCATTTGGGGTGGGCTCAACAGGGTGCATAAAGGGAGGCATCTTAGTGTCAGCAACTCATCAGATTTGAAATTGTCTACAGTAGGTACGCAGGGTTGGTGGCGGGATCATGTTGGCTTGAAGGCTGAATACATTCGGATTGGTACCAGAAACAAGGATGCACCTTCCATGTTTTTGCTTCCAACAAAGGATACGACGTTTTTGCTGTCATCTCAGAGGGCTCGACCAGAAGAGCTGGTTTGGGGTAGTTTCAGGTTTAGGGTTTCAGGCTTGTGGTTCTTAAAAGAAGGCCTTGAATTGCGCGGTTGGGGTTTGGGGTGTGAGCTGTAGGGTTTGTGGCGTATAGCCCCCCTTAAGTAGATGAAATATGGCTTTGGGTCTGTAATAAGATCCCCATATACCCCATATTCTATCTAATTAAGGGCGACTACAGATCTTCAGGATAGCACTTACAATTGCTCAGTACTATTGGGCCCCAGGGACATGTGGGAGAGAGAGATTAGTGCCAAAACCCGAACTGTTACAAAAGCTGCTGACTGGCGATCCTTACGTGCACCTTAGGACACCAAAAGGCCTCGGCTTCGAACTATCTCTGGCCTGTACAGGTTTGTCGATTTCAGTGGGGCGTTCACGGCTCTAGTGTTGAGGTTCAAGAACATGGCAGGGTTGCAGGATTTAGGGCGGGTGGCCTTAGGGTTGGGGTTTTTGTCATTCCCGGATATTTTGGGTGCATCGCTAGGCTCCGTGAAAGCCGTGACGCCCACAGGAAACTTCACATCCCAAGCCCAAACTGTCAAACCCTAAACCTTAGGAGGACCCCCCACCCTGTAATAGTGCTATAAAAGGAATATAAGAGGACCCTAGTATAATCCTTTTTATCCCCTATAGCCACTATTACAGGGTGGGGGGTCCACCTAACCTAAACCCTACACTCCGACCAAAGCCCAGGAGCTGGCAGCGCTCAAGGAAGCCGAAGGTGGTGGACCGCTCATTGGCTCCACCGGAAGCCGTCTCCTCTCTGGCTACTAAGCACGGTTTAGGTCTTGTTTCTTGAATTTGGAGTCTTGAGACTGGGGTTTTGAGTTTGGAGCCTAGGGTCAGGAGCTCTGAGTTTCGGGTTCAGACTTTTGAGGCTGGGGGGGTTGAAAGGAGTAAGTGTCAAGCCTGTCAACAGTCAGAAATGCCTGCGAGTGGGGGCCTTTGGGGGGAACGTTTGTGTCCTGCAAACCTAAGCACTACAGGCACCACATGTTTCGCGAACTGCCCAATAGCGGTGTAACAGGGCCACTGCATAGAGCCGTGGCAAGAAGATTCCGTCAGACGTGAACTACATTGAAGAAGGTACAACAGGACACCTCTAACTGTTCGTGCTGGAGCCCTAAACCTGTCTGGGACCGGACCCTGCCTTCACTTGACACCCCCGCAATCACCTGACGCTCGAACCCATACTAAGGGCCCCTACTCGTACCACCCACATGCCCTTCAACCGCGTAAACCCCACATTCAGGCAACTCGGCTTTCAGCGAGGAGCTGGAGCAGGAGCTTGCAGCCCTAGAATGACGAGTGACCAATGGGATCCAATGGGAAATCATTACTACAGGGTATGTATGGTCACCAAAAACTGGTACTCAAGCCTTGCCCGACTCCAACCTTAAATCCTGACATGCTTCCACCCTAAATCCTGAGTTCCTTCCCACTCATCCCTTCACCCTGCCTCCTGCAAACTTCTGTTGATACTACAAATCCTGCATGACCTGAATATACTATGGTACCATAATTCCCAAGGTATAAGGTACTTAGGGTCATGCAGGATTTTTAGTGTCCACCGTAAACCCCCCAAAAATGCGCCAGAGCCCCAGGAGCTCGCCCAGTTCCATCGCGCTGAGGCGGCCTTGCTGTTCAACTCCGGATTCGACTTGAACCTGGGCTCCTGGGAATTGGTTATTTTTAAATATATTTGGGTAATACTGGGATAATGAAAAATTAGATGGAAACTACTGTAGGGTTTAGAGTTGAGGGTTTAGGCTTCAACATGTAACCGGCTGCCCTGTACAATAAACTCTCCATCCACCCCCAACCACTGACAATCGATAATGTTGGGCTCATGTTAGAACCCCCTTCCCCCGGAGTTCCGGGCGGACCAATCACAAAACAAGGTAAGCCAGACCCCTGATTAATGAACCCCTCCTCTTAGTAGGGATTATAATAGGGATCCCAATATTGAGGCCTAACCAGAAAGGGGTTTATTATTCATGAGTCTACATTGAGTCTACATTATGGGCAATGGGGGTCGTAAGAAGTAATCTGGAGACCTGAGCTCTCTCTCAGATGGGTCGTCGAAGTTGCGGTAGGAGTAGGAGTAGGAGTAGTAGGAGTAGTGACTAGGAGTTGGAATAGCAGGAGAAAGAGGAGTAAGAGCAGGAGTAGGAGAAGGCGGAGCAGGAGAGAAATGTGTGTTGATGTTAACTGCGAGCCATGTGTGTGCATGTGTTTTTTTGTTAATGGATTGTTGGGCCCGAGAATTTTGTCATTCCTGCCCCTGTGTGAAAAATCAGCCCCTGACACCCAAATAGACGGATAGGCTACATCAAGAAAACCAAGAATGCCCCAGGCTCGCCATTAACATCAAACTACAGAACCTAAATCTGGGGATTTCCTCTGGCCAGTTTTTGCCATCCTCTTTGTAATCAGGATGCTGACGCTACTCCCAATAATAGATCCTAATAGAATTCAAAAAACACACTATGAGCTGATCCCCTTGAGGTGCGGAAAAAATCGCATCGCACATGTGATGACAAACATGTTCTGCAAGCCTCGGTATTCAAGCGGTGGTAGCTGCGTTCCAATTTGACTTGTGCTTTCCCTGTTGCTACCCAGCTGCTGCTGCAACTGCTGCCACCACTGCTCCTCCTTCTGCTGCTTCACCTCCTGCCTCTTCCTCTTGCTGCTGCTGGTGCTGCTGCATCCATATTCCCTCCATACCATTTCAAATGTATTTTGTCAATTTTCATTCTTCGTGTTATTGCAGCAAGCTATCATGCAAGGTTTCTTTGCTTGCGTCCCCCAGCCTGGTGATGTGGTGCTTTATGACGAGCTGATCCACCAATCCGTACGCGAGGGTATGAAGTTGCTTGGCGTAATTGCTGGCAATCGCTGGTTCTGCTTCAGACAACCCAGGAATAGGTGACAGTGGCATTTGTGGATGAACAGAAGCCATGGCAGTCATCCAGCACTTGCTGCAAATCGGGTTGCCGTAGGGGCCCACTGTAGATTGCTTCTGGTTACGGGCTTTTGGGACTGCCCAGTGTAAGGCTGTGCCGCGGCAGGGCCATCCAGTTTCGCCACAATGACATCTCTGCTCTTCGACAAGCTGTGGCAGATGTTCTGGCAGGAGCCTATGACCGGAGACCGAACATCATCATTGCTGTCGAATCCGTGTACTCCATGGATGGGCACTGTGCCCCCCTGGCTGAGTTCTGCGACATCGCAGAGTCCGCAGGAGCATCCTTGGTGGTAGACGAAGCGCATGGAACTGGCGTATACGGTCCAGAGGGGCGTGGCCTGGTGTCGGAACTGGGCTTGGAGAGTCGCGTCTTTTGCCGTGTGCATACCTTTGGCAAAGCCCTTGGTGTCCATGGGGCCGTAGTCGTGGGACCCAGGGTTTTGTGCGACTATCTCCTCAACTATGCATGGTCATTGGTGTACTCTACGTCCTTGCCACTCCATTCGCTTGTGGCAGTTCGGTGCGCCTACTCCTTCATGCGGCGAGAGGCCTCGAAGCGCCAGCTTCATCTGCAAAGACTCATTCAGACTTTCCAAAAGCGGCTAACAAGCCTTCCTCCAGATCAGGTCTTGCAAAGCAGTTCTCCGATTCAGGGACTTATCGTCCCAGGCAATTCTGCAGTCATGGCAGTAGCCAAGAATTTGAGAGAGAGGTTTGATGTGCTCCCTATCCGCTCACCCACCGTTCCAGCAGGTAAGGAGCGCCTCCGGATTATTTTACATGCTCATAACACGGAAGAGCAAGTTCATGCTTTGATGAATACCTTGGACTCATGTCTTCAGCGTCTTCAGCCAGACGGCCAGCTCCAAACCCCTCCAGCCGCCAGACTTTGAAAGAGCAGCGGGCTCTTGTGTGGCGGGTGTGGATGATTTTTGTCGCAAGTATAAGGACCTAGTGCCCATGCACTGGGTTTAGGATCTCTTGATCGCCAGGATATTTTGGAGCCTCGGCGGTATGAGCGGCATACTTTAGTATCTGCTCAGACTATATGGCTTGACCACGGCTGACAGATGACAAAAAATGCTTCAGGTTTTTTTGCGTGCATTCAGCTTGAAGCTGCATCTGCAAAAGGGATCAACTGTGTGTGTTCCCTTGCAGCTCTGCAGGTGCATGTTAGATTGTCATTGCCATTTGGGTTTCCCAAGTTGTGATTGGGCCAGTTAGTAATGCGCTTTTGGGTCTTAGCTATAGTTTTGCATATAAACCTTATATACCCTACAATCCCTATATAGCCCATTATGGTAGTTTCCATGTTCTTTTCCCCATATAAACCCCAATACATACCCCATCAGTGCTTCATCTCAGCTTTTTTGGCGCTACAGGAGAGCAGGTCAATGGGAGGTGGCGCTGAGACTACATCGCTGGATGCAAGACGTTCAAGCCGTGTACATGGACGGCTCCCGGGCAGCAAGTCCCTTCATGGGAGTGATATCTGTTTTGCTAAGCTTGTGGATCACAAACGGGGTAAAGGCAGCTGGCCGCAGCAGCCAAGTTTTGGTGCCAAGGAAGTTGATCAGCACAGGTCTGTGAAAAGAGCAAGGGTCTGAGATGGAGTCGGCACGTAGCATGATCAAAGCATTATGCGTGGACGGCATGGACCAAGCAGATTGTGTCGGAAGCCGTTCCCGGGTTGCATTTCATGTTTATGTATCATCATTGCTGGTGCAGGCCATGTTTTTTTTTTGCGTCAAGGCCATATTAGCTGTATTGTGGTTGTTGCTGCGTGTGTTATTTGTCACCGTTGGCATCATGCTTAATTTTAGGGTGGGTCCGAGGACAACTAAATCGCAATTGCTCAGATTGTTCCATGAACTGGTACTACTCTTGCTACGGTGGAGACTAAGAATCCTGCAGAGCCTGAGTACCTTGTAATTTGGGAATCGTGGTACTATAGTAGGCTAAGGTCCGGCAGGATTCTTAGTATCAACAGTATGTTTGCAATTATCTTTGATCAATGGCAGCCTTCTCGTGGACACCCTTTTGCTCCACGATGGTCTTCTCTTTCAGGGGGCTCCTAACTTCAAGCCTAAATGCCAGGTACTCTTGGCTTATGAAGCTTAAAGCCCTACTCCCACAGCACAAACGCTGTTTGTCTTTTGGTCCCTCGAGAAATCTTCTAGACCCAGGCCCGGCATGCAACATGTTGGTCAGTGGATGTGGGCGCGGCGCTGTGTGGGATCAAGCCCTACAAGTCGCCAGCGGGTTGAATGTGGTAAACGTTTGAAACTTTCCTCTTTGCAGTTCGTCAACAGGACTCAATTGTTCACACAGTCCCCAGAGAGAGAAAAGAGTGGCTAGAGTAATTACAGCTCATGCTAGGTTGCGTGAGAAACTGAAGAGAGTCGAAAGGACAAGGGGTCTCTGAGAAGTACTTGCGTGAACGCTATGCAAAGCGCTACAATACTACTGCATGGTCCGAGTGTCAATCCTCCACTTGTAAGGAACTTCATTTGTGCTTGCAAAGGTTTGTGGCAAGCAGACTATAGGAACAGAGCCCCATAGCACCCAGAAGCCACTGCAGCCCGGAACCACCTAGATGCAAAATGCTCAAAATGAACGGGTCTTCTTGGCGATGACCGGTTTGCAGTCATGCTCGCGTGAGGACCTCGAGCAGTGAAGAGCCTGAATCGATTAGCGGCAAACTGAAAACCCAAAAGCCCTGAGGTGAGCGCCATGCTTCCTGAGAGGCTGACTCCAAACGAAATCAGTCTTGCTTCGGCCATCAGCCGCTTTCTTGCTTTGGTTTGGGAGTTCGGGTGCTCGTCTTCAGGATGTTGAGCTTTAACCGTCATTTGATCATATAGGGAAGCCTTTGAGGGGTTCTTGAAGTGAGGACTAGAGGAGTTTTGCCTGGCATACTGCGGGCTCCCTCAGCCTCGTTACAGTGGGGCTCAGTGGTGCAAAAGCAGGCCTCACATAAAAGCACCTCAAGCCAGAGCCATTCTTGATACTGCGCGCCCCCCCCGCCCAAAATCGCCCATGCATCAGTTTGCTGGCCAAGCCTATGTCTACCCATTACTGTACCCCCTACGCATGACTAAGACTGAAGTAGAGAGGTGCCTGTTCGGATCCAAAATCCGGATCCAAAATCGTGAGTCCCAAGCCCGAGTCTAGCAATCAGATCTCAAAGTCACGAGGCCCATGAACTCATTACATGACAAGGAGTGTTTAGAGGTGTTTAGGCGGACCGGTAATTCCAAGATGCCGGTAGTGATCCGTTGCAAGCAGTAGGGTGGCTTTATTTCATCACGATGGCTTCAAACTGTTAGTAGCCATAGCATCACATTTGGAGTCAGGTGTAAGTATGATTTGAGAGTGCTTGGTCCTTCGACTGAGTGATTCCCATGTGGCCCTGGAGAGGTACAGCTGCAATCCTTAAAATTCTAGCCTGCAACTCCTTCAGCAGCTGCTTGAACGTATGAAGGCGGGTCTTTTCATTGGAGGCACAACATTAAATACCTACACGGTAGTTTCCGCAACTAGGGGGAGCCCAACATAGACCCAACATTTTCCAGATATAGCACAAAACGGGACATCTAATTTTGGGAAACCGTCATAGAGGAGCTGTGCTACTATAGTAGGCTGCTGGCAGGTCCCTGATTGTGTAGGTTGGCCCCTATTTTGGTGAACCGTGGTTCACTTACACCTCTACTTCGGGATTTAGGGTTTAGGGCTTGCTGGTTGTCCGAATGGGGGAATGGATGCCTATACTTACTAGCGGTTAGTAGGGAACAAAGGAATATTTGTTTTTGGAAATGTACGGACGATATTCCATTACAACCACCTGTAAGTATAGCAGCCCCTCTATATCCCCACCAAATCTGGTAGTTTCCATGTTCTTTTCTATTCCTTTGTCCTTGCTAACATAACAGCCAGCAAGATCTCCGTAGAAAGCCCCTATCTAAACCAGTTTCCATTGCCCTTCCCCCATGTTCAAGAAATGATATCCCAATAGCCGCCATGAACCTTCTATATTCCCTACAGTCTACCCCCAACATAACTCTTACAAACCCTAAACCCGTAAACCCTCACAAGCCTTGTAAATCCTAAACCCAAATAGCCCTTATACGCCTAGCCCTTATAAGCCTTAAACCCTAAACCCATGCAAGCCTTATAAACCTTTAGCCCTCTAGCCCTTACAAACCCAAAACCTCCCAAACCAATATAGACCATGTAAACCCTAAACCAATATAAGCCTTATATAAACCCTGAACCCACGTAAGCCTTATAAACCCTAAACCCTAACTCCTATAACCCCTCAACCACATTATAAACCCTAAACCCATATAAGCCTTACAAGCTCTAAACCCCTATAGCCCACATAACCCCTAAACCCTAAACCAGTATAAGCCTCATAAACCCTAAGCCCTGTAGCTCTTGTAACCCCTAAACCCTAAACCAGTATATGCCTCATAAACCCTAAGCCCTGTAGCTCTTGTAACCCCTAAACCCTAAACCAGTATATGCCTCATAAACCCTAAGCCCTATAGCCCTTATGACCCCTGAACCCTAAACCCTAAACCCTAAATAGTACTTTCCATTTTCTTTTCCATTATCTCTATATGATCCCTATATTCCCCCTATATCACTATATTGCCCCCTAAACCCTAACCCCTAAACCCTAGACCCTAAACCATATTCTGAAGTGCAGTCCAGGTGCTTGTGGACGCTGCAAGGAGTGGCCATCGGCCCTGTGGCTGCTCCGAGCCCGGCCCAGGAGCCATGGGCAGATCTCTGGGTTTTGGGTTTTTGGCTTAGGGTTTGGGTTTCGGGTTTCGGGTTTGGGGTTTTAGGTTTTTGGGTTTAGGGTTTTGGGTTTTTGGCGTTTTAGAATTGAGTGCTTTGGGGTTTAGGGTTCAGGAATTTTGGGGTGTAGGGTTTATGGCTTAGGAACTTGAATAGGGTAGAGAGTTTTAAGTTATGATAGTGGAGGATCAAATGTCGGGTTATATACAGAGGGTCCCTGATCCATGCTACCATAATGCTCATACATGGCAAGTCTAAGTTACTAGTACCTTAATTTACTTTCCCTCTCAAGCAATCCCGTTTTTGGACGTTCCACTTCCTGTCGGGTTTGGGCGGGGCGTGGTTGCAAACAGCAGTGGCTACGGTTGCAGGCTGCCCTCTTCTTCTGGGAGCCCAAAGAAAAACTCGACTTTTGATCTTCTGTTTCCTTTGAACGTGTTTCACTGATTCCCTCAGACCTCTTTGCTACCCCCAACATGGTCAAGTGCAGTTTGAGGATGTTTGAGGACCATGGCGGCACTTCTCGAGAGGAGGTCTCCCAACATACTGTATGCACCACGCATGAGCTGAGTTGAAGCCCCAGGCTCTGTCTGTCCAGCGATGCATGTGGCGCTGCGATCGGCGCATGCGACTTGGGCCTGTGAAGATTTTGGGCCTGGAATATGTGTGATTTCAGGTTTGGAGGTCGGCCGGTTATTGAAAACTGCAAGACCAAGAAAGTAATTGTGTGATGAACTTGGCTACAGCACTTTCACTCACTCAGAGCTCTCACTTGGGTCCTACGTTCTAAGCTCCTGAGGCCCTACACATAACCCCTTTAGCTTTCTTGCATGGCTGGGGCAGTCAAGGTGAGACTGCCCAGTACTGGAGTGGAGGATTGCAGCTTCTCCAAGACATGACCCTGTGCCTTGCCAGTGTTGGATGGAGGTTTTCTTCCTCTGGTTGCTGTCATGAACATGTACGGTTTTAGGTACGTATTTGTGGTAGCTTCTGGGAGGGCAAGGAGCAAGAGGATGAGGAGGCTGAGGAAGGGTAGTCTGGCTTGTGGTGCTACCTGATGCAGCTGCAGCTGCAGCACCCGTGCTAC